CGGGGTCCTCTCGCCGAGCGCAGAACGACCCCGGTTTCAAAAAAAAAAAAAAAACTTCTGGGCGGTTTTTTGTCCCGCCCGGTTTATCCGGGCGCCCCCCCCGGGCCCAACCGGCCGGGCGGCGTCCTCACTCATGGGGACATATCATTATCTGGCAGATCTGCCCGCCAGGTCTGAGAGGGAAGAGAGGGTCAGGGCAAGCTGACAGTCAATCCTCCACTGAGGTGGAGCAATCAATACTGCTCAGGGGTCCTTCGGCCTGAACGGAAGGAAGCGTGCGTGTGTTCTGTCTCATGTATTGTATATTTTGACTTGCCGGTGGAATAGGAACCGGACTGACGCTCCCCAGAATAGAAGGAGCCAGGACCATAAGGCCCTGTTTTGTTCAAAAAGAAAAAAAGAAAAAAAACAAACCGCTCCAGACGTAGTACACGTCTATGAAAGAGAAAGAAAGGGGAAAGGTCCTACCTTGAGTTAGTGTTCTCGGAGGACCTCGAATTCAGGACGGCGGGAGTGAAACGGTTTCACCCAGTTGACATGACATTTGCAGACACTGAGATTCGATCTCTAGACCTATGCCTGAACCCTGTACATTGACCCTGTGTGCTGAGTGAGATTCGATCCATAGACCTATGCCTGTGCCCTGTACAATCACCCGGTGACTGTGTGAGATTCGAACCCTCGACCTGCCCTGTGTCAAAGGTTAGGCTGTAGGAAGGGAAGTTGCGCTTGATCCCTAGGTCTGTAGGTTAGTACTTAAGTCTGTTACCATTAGCTTAGGAAGGTCTGTTCTAGAAGTCTCTACTTACCTCTTCGTAGGCCTAAGAGTCAGTCCGTAGGCTCTAGGGTCCAGAAGAGTCTGTCCGGAAGAGTCTGTCTGACTCAGCAAGTACCTGGGTAAGGGCTGCGCGTGGGGAAGGTTCTGGACCACGTGGAGAGTTCCACACGTTTTGGCCAGTGGGCCACGCATCTGGAATTTTCCCGGGGCCATGCGTTTTGGCCCAGGCCCACGCGTTTTGGGGCAGGGCCCGGTCACCTCCTAGGAAGTAAAAATAAAGAGGCAGCGTCCAGGCATTCATTCATTCGCCTGGGAGCAATGCGGAAGTGCTGCTTCAGTGACTTGTGCGTGGAGGTCTGCAGGTGCCCGGAGAGGAAGTGGGCAGTGAGCAAGACAGCGGCCATAGCTGGCCAGTGAGGAAGACGATGGCGGCCATAGCTGGAAGGAGGAAGATGACGGCGGCCATAGCTGCCCAGCTGTTGGTGGAGACAGAGTGTACAGAGTGTGTGTGTCTGTGTAGCGTGGACATTCAGGGTAGATCCTCGTATATGCGTGCATGAGGGAGAGTGAGGCTGGTGGTGGAGACAGTGTTCGGCGGCCATAGCCGCAAGTTGTACAGTTGTCTTGAACATAGTTTAAAGTGCAAGTTCGTTGTTGATTCTGAGCTGACGAGTTTGGTTTGGCCATCAGTTCTCGTGTATGCATGTTGAAAGCAAGTTTGAAGTGCAGTCTGATTGTATCAGATACCACACTTGATGGGAAAACAAAAAAAAAAGCTACACTTGATCTTAGTTATCAATAAGAGTGAGAAAGGTACTACTTAGAAGGGAGTCACTGAGAAAGCCAGAGGAATTAGAGGGTGAGACTGGGAGGAGGGGACTTAGATCAGTTCCCGGCACGGCAAAGACTGTCCGTCACCAGACACACAATCGGAAGGGTTTGAGATGCTGAGATAGGGAGGAATTGATGGCTCCCATCGTCATCGACAAGTCAACCGCCCTCATACGCTCTTCAGTTGGAAGGGAGAACTTAAAAAGTACCCTGGGATCTCAGTCATCAGGTCTTTATCAGTGGAGGTGCAATAGGAAAGGGGTGCCGCTAGGAGGAATAGGGGAGGGTTTAGGGTTTAAGGATCTTAGTCTTCGAGTAACAGCTCGGGGGCTTATGGCTGAAGGGCTTGCCCAGTCGGAACGGCTCAAGACAGTAGTCTTAGGCAGATGGTAACTGGTCAAGATGGCTGAGGTTAGGACCGGACTGATTATAAGGAGACAGGGAGGAGGAGGATGGTTTAGACATTAAGGGGTTTTAGGAAAAAGAGAAATACAGCATCTACCTTGTCAGAAAATAGGGGGATCAGGGCATGTAGAGGGGTGGAGGTGGCGAAAATGGCTAGATCCTTTCTTGGTTTTCGGGCCCCATATGACAGGTGAGTGCAACAGTCCTGAGAGGAAAGGGCTTAGTATGGCAAGCTGACAGTCAATCCTCCATATGGATGGGGCAATGAATGCTGGTCAGGGGTCCTTCGGCCATATGGAAGGAAGTGTGTGTCTGCAATTATGATGTATTGTCCTTTTGACTTGCCGGTGGAGTAGGAACTGGACTGATGCTCCCCAGAATGGAAAAGGACCCTGGGCTATAAGGTCCAGTTTTGCAAAAAAAAAAGAAAAAAAAAAAGAAAAAAGAAAGAAAGGTACTACTTAGCAGTTTCTGGCTCATTTTGAGCAGCTCTTTTTTTTCCCGTTTAGTTAGTTCCTGGGCACCCCAAAAAAAGAAAAAAGAAAGACTTCAAAAAAGGAAAAAAGGTTTCATACTGAGTGACTGTGTTTATTTTTTTGTCTTGTTTAATTTGTTCACTTTTAAAAATTCATCCTTTTCCTGAATGGGTTGACTCTTTTCCCCCCTTTTTTTTAATGATTGAGTCTCTCATTTGTGTTTGCTGTGGGTGGCCATCACCCTTCCTGTCTGTTGCTCATGCCTGTCTCCTGCAAGACAGGGGAAAATACTGCTTCAAAGACTGCGAGAGGTAGAAGAGGAGAAAGAGCGTAAAGAGGAAGCGTTGCAAACTCTTAATGAGGAGTTAAATTATGAAAGGGCAAGGCAGACAGAGGTTATGAGGGAGAAACGTGAGCTCAGCAATCAGCTAATGAGAGTAGGAGAGAAGTTACGAGCCAAAAACTTACAATGGGAAGAGCTGCAAATGGAGAATGACAAACTTTGCAAGGTGTGTCTACTATTATTGTAAATAGTAAATGTTCTTTTTTTTTAACTTTTATTTTGACAACGATTAAATGATTATTTGTAGACCTTACTTTGTTCCATGGGTGTTTTGATGACTTGTGATGGGGGTGTGAACATGCAGTCTGTAGAGTTTTCAGTCTGGGGCTGCTGAGTAATAGTCTGATCTGATTTTCGTCACAGGTACCTTGAAGGCAGTGGTTGGTGCCCACCTCAAGGTATCAGTTGTTGGGCAGTCGTTGATGCTTAGCCGTAACAGGGTTTAAGGTGGATTATCACTTTAAGTATCATCGGTTAGGGGACTCGGCAGACTGTAGAGGTTTCAGCCTCCTGATGAGTCAGTTGGTGAGACTCCGATGAAACAGTCTGTCCCAGCCCCTCGTTTGTTGTCCTCTTCTCCCTCTCTGCCTACCATTTACTGGGCAGTTCTGTTTGACAATGTTTAATTTGTACCAACGAGCCTAGCTCGGTTGGTACACCCATGAACTGTTGAAATACAGACCTAAGCTTGAATCCAGATGCAATCAGATGAACAGAATGAAATCATTCTGAATTACCTGGGGCCGGTCAGTTGAATGATGATATCTCAAGGCCATCGCCCTTTTTTAAAAAAAGAAAAAAAAGAAAACATTGGCTGGTCCCCAGGCCGCCTGGCGGCCTGGTCGTCGCCCGGGCGGCGGGGGGGGGGGGGGGCCTGGCCGGTTGTCGCGTCTGGTTCGCCACCGGGCGCCCCCAGCGCATCACTGTAGGTTAGTTTTTTTTTTTTGTTTGTTTGTTTGTTTTTTGTTTTTTGTTTTTTTCGGCGGTTGGCCCCTTTTTGCCCCCATGCTAGACTGTGTAGACCACCAAAAAAAAAAAAAAAACGGGGCCGGTAGGCCCGATTTCACCGATTTGAAATCAGGCCTGATCTGGATTGTCAATCTCGAAGATCGACGGCCCAGATGGCCGCGATTTCAAATCGGTGAGGGTGGGAACTTCCAGCCCCCATTCCCTTCCCCATACTCAAGCTGTACCCCCAAGGTCCCCCCGTTCCCTGCCCTGCAGTTGTGTCGCTCCGCCGGCCTTCGACGTGCCGGCACCTGCCAACTCCCTACATCGCACGTGACCCCACCGTCGCCCGCCAACGCCCGCCATCGCAGTTCCCCGCCATCGCGGTTCCCCACCATTGCGGTTCCCCGCCATCGACAAGGTAAGGGAGTTAGTTGGGGGGAGAGAGAGAGAGAGAGAGAGAGAGAGAGAGAGAGAGAGAGAGAGAGAGAGAGAGAGAGAGAGAGAGAGAGAGAGAGAGAGATCTT